AACACCTCGACCCATTGGACCCCATTTACGGAATTCGCACGCTGCTGCTAATTCCTTTCCCCGCTCCCCCTGCCCAGAGCTGCACAATCTTGAGTCTAGTTCCATTGGTTTTAGTTCATCCCGGGAGATCGCGTGTTTGAAGGCAAATGTTTGATAGAACGGTATCTGTTTGAACCTGAAGTTGCCATCAGATCCCGCTCCCCTGTGTAGAATTCAAAACGGCCCGTCATTAAGAGCGGAAAGTTTCCTTTGTAGTAACAACTCGGCACGCGTCCCCCGTTTGCGTCCACTCTCGTCTGTCTCGATTTCCTCTGTTTAAACTCGGCTGCCTTGGCGTCCCTCTCCACTCGACTCTCCCCACTGCGGTGCAAGTTATCCACGAGTCCTTTCACCTGTCAGTACCGTGCTCCACGCTTGCTAGGGCCAAGGCCCTGGCAATTCTGAATGCTCAAGGAAGTACCTGAATCTAGAAATGATGTGTTAGAGTTTCCCGGAAGAGCAAATGCCTGGAGCTTTGAGTCAGACCTTTGGTGCTTCAGTAGGAAGAAAACGTTTGGAAGAGGAGGAGGAGGTATGACCGAAAAAAAAAAAATGACCCTGAATTTTATATTCACTCGTTTTCTTCTAATTGAATACTACTGATACTTGAAACAAATTTTTGTAAAAACAGGGTCGTCCCATGTATACGTCCCTTTCTCTAGAAATAGCATTTGTAATGAATACTAATCCAGATTACAGATTACAATCTCACTGTTCAAAGGGTTTGAATTACAGGTATAGGTTTAGTGTAGAAAAGAAAGTCACGTGTTTTTTTTTAAGGTGAGATTCAGTTAAAACTCATTTTAACTAAGCACTTAAAATAGTCAATCAGTATCCAAAGGCCATTGCAAACTAGGGAATAAAAATGCCCTAAACAGATTAAGTTATTTAGTAATCTTGCAAATCTTGAATGGTGTTGCTTGGTTAAAATTAAAGACATGAGAAGAAGCCAAATAGAAACACATCTTATTTTGAAGCTTCTCAGAAACTTTTCTGCCCCCTCCTCCTAGCACTTGGGGTACCTTGTTAGAGTTTTCTTTCTTTCTTTCTTTCTTTCTTTCTTTCTTTCTTTCTTGCTTAGCACTTACATAGTCTCTAATGGGGTTATTTATATCTTTTGTACATTTAGTCTTGAATTTAAGAAGATGAATTTTATGTCTTAATTTTTGCATCTCTTCTAGTACTTTTCACATAGTAGGTGCTGAGTAAAATTTCATCAAATTATTCTCAATACTGTCATTTACTTCTTGCTCTTCGACTTGAAAATGTAGGCCCTGAATACATGGATTGGTAGACTCGGAGGTATAGATGACACTGGAGCAGAAAAGTCCAGTTGTAAGGCCTTATCTGAGCCATTGAAGTTATAACAACTCCTAAGGTACACTAGTTAATGGTAGGGAAATTACTTTTTACTCTGTCTTTTAAAGAAATAAATAAGGTATATCTATTTTAAAGATAGTCTGTTTCATTTTTGTGGTCCTGGGGATTGAGCCAGGGCCTTGGACATGTTTGAGTCCCAAGTGGAACCCTTAAAGGATATTTTTATGGCAGTGACATTTCTCCATCAGAAACAAAGGCAGTTTTCTACCTAGCCTTGCAGACAGCTGTTAGTTTATGTGTATATGTTACTATAATCCAAAATTGAAAATCAACCCAATGAAGTGTACTGTGGGGGGAGAAAGATGAGTAAGACAGCCATACTTCAGGTTTCCACAATCTTAGGACCTATCTGATCCACAAATAACTGTATAGTAATTAATGTCTAAGTAGCAGGTGTAATAGCACGTGTCTATAATCCCACCACATTGGGGGAAAGGCTGAGGCAGGAGAGTCAAGCCATGTTTGAAGCCAGCCTGGGCTGCCTAGCTGGATTAAAAAGAAAAGTTATCCTGTCTCAAACAGTAACATAAAATCATTTTTATTTTAACATGAAGAACTCTGCAAATGACACAAAGAATCTTTGCTTATATTACAAAGGTTTTGGGGATGCAGAGGTTTTAGAGAACTGTTAGGTGAACCAACAGTTAGTTAATTACTCTTCTAAAAGGTAGAAATGAGACTGTTGAGTAGGAAGAGGGGGCTGACATAAGTGAAAATAGGGAGTTTTGAAGTTTCCAGGGTATGACTAAAAAGCCCCACTTAGTTAGAGAAAAATGACAGAAACGAGTGATGGAAGTGCAATTAGCAAATAGTGGTAGATGTTAGATGCTAAGCCGAAGAGTTTGGACTTGGTGAGGGATCCATTAAATGTATTTATGTAGTAGAATGTTGCTGCTCTCTTACTTGGTGATAATGGAATGTCACACACGTCTTTGATGTTCCCTTTTCTTATGTCTCTATGTATTAGAATAGAACTTTTTTTTTTCTTTTGTAGTATCTGTCATTTGAAAGTTTGGTTTAATGTTAATTTTGGAGAGAGCAAAATCATTCAAACTAGAGCAGTACAAAGTCTGTTTTGACTACAAAATTTTATGATACTTGAAATTCAAGTTTGAAATGTACCCAGTATCTCAGATGTCTTACATTCATTCCTATCTATGTATGGTGGTTTTCTCTGGTTTTCAAATGGCAACTTCTCCTTAACAAAGAAACTTAACTGTTTGTACCAGTTTGTTAGCTTTGTCTAAATAAATGGCCTCCAAAGCTGTTTCTAAAGAGGGCTGAAAATAGGGACTGTATTCAAACTGCAGAGGAGCAGAATTCTTTCACTGAATGTATGTATACATATTGGTGGTTGACGGATGCCTGGAATTAAGTCAGGGCTAAGGAGGACAGTGATAATGGGAATGATTAAGTTATGCTACCAGCTATGACTAGCAGTATTTGCAAATTCCAGAGTTCCTCTTGTGATCCCCGTACCCTGATTTCCCAGAATAACTTTAGATACCTCTGGGTACACACACAAATACACACTCACACACACATACTCTCTCTCCAACTTTGTATCAACCATATTATTAGACATCAGTATATAAAAAATTAATTGAAATTCATTGGAGTTCAATATATAGTATCGTATACTCACCATATGGAAGCAATAGTTTCATGGACACAATAATAAAATATAGTTAAAAAATATGATGGTGTGCATAGTATAAATATCTACTTTAATGTGTCTCATCTAAGTGTCTAGTGATTAATTTTCAATAATGATTTTAATAACTCAAATTTTCTAGAAATTAATAAACATGGCTCATGGCCAGTACAGGAGTCGTCAGAATACCATTGAGGTAGTAATTACCAACAGTTGATGTCCGTTATCATGCTACACCTTATGTAACTTAAAATATAATCTTTTCAACAGTTAAATAATTGGGTGACCCTCCATATTTTACTGTTTAAAAGAAATAATTTATCCAAGAGGATAGAACATTCTAAAAATTTTGGTTTCAACGTAGTAGGTTTCAAATTTTAGAATCATCTGTGGAGCTTGTTAAATGACTGTCAGCTCACGATTCTGATTCAGTAGGTTTGCGTTGTTAAGACACTCAGGTGATGCTGTATTGGGAATAGCACCACCACATAGCAGGGCTGGCAGACTTTTTCTGTAAAGGGCCATATGGTAAGTATTTTAGACTTTCCGGCCAGGAGGCAAAGTGAAGAATACTAAACAGAAAAAAAAAGAAAGAAATATATGATGAAAGAAAACAACTGCAATCTTTTGGTTGAATAAAAGCACAGTAACATTGACTGAATAGTTTGTGTCATGTGAATGAGAAGATTGAATTGGTTTGAAGGTTTTCATTACTCTTAATTGTGGTTCTAACTTATTGTACTATCAGAATTGATTGTAGATTTTCACCCATTAATGCATATCTCGAAAGCAATTTTATGCTTTTTGTCTTTGAAGTTTTTTTACATAGGTGTTGCCAGATACATTTCCTTCCTTCCTTTCCTTCCTTCTTTCTTGTTTTGAATGTGTTTTGTGTTAAACGTGGGGTTCTGTTCTCTACATATGTTCTTTATGAACATATTTCTTGTATGTGAGGCATTTTGAGAATTCTTCCCTGTTGTCTTGATATTTCCCAATTTGCATTCAGATTAACTCCTTCCAATTGAAAACTCAGTGGGAGCTTCTGGTGAGCTTGTGAAAAGCTGCAACTGTAGTTTGAGCTTGAGAAAATATACCTGTTAAGTTTGGTGTAATGTGGAGGTCTTGTTTAGCAGTTGACAACACAGGAACTGCACAAAACAGATTGTTGATACTTCTGATTGAGTAGTGTTGTCCAGATTGCTTTACTGTAACATACATTTCTCATAGAAGTTTTACGTAGACTTGGAGATAAGATACATTAAGAAACATCAAATCTACAGGGAAATCTAGTTTTCAAAGACATGGGTTTGGGGTGGTTGTTTTTCTGTCTTTCTTTCCTTGCTATTTGTATGTAGTGAGCATTTTTGTTTTTTAATTAACTATATAACTACAAATGCTAATTCAGTAGGCCTTGTGGTAAGGCAAGTTGAGAGTTTTCAGTTTCTTAGGGACAGAACTGAATCAACAGTGAGGTGCTTATATCAGTGCATGCAAATTAAGTTCCCTCCTTGGGGGACAAATGATACACTGATGGATTAAATGCTTTTCTCCCTAGAAACCTGTTAGCGAGGTGCTTATATCAATCAGTGCATGCAAATTAAGTTCCCTCCTTGGGGGACAGTCAAATGATACACTGATGGATTAAATGCTTTTCTCCCTAGAAACCTGTTAGTGAAGAGCAGTAAGCTTCAAAGAGTGTATGTTTTGAAACAAAGTCTCTAAGTTGGATAAACGAGGCTCTTTGTGTTCTTCGTGTAGTCCTGCTGCCTAGTTATAACACTTCAGGTTATACAGGGTTAGCATCTTCTTACCTTTGAAAATATTCTTTCATATCCTTGTTCTATGTAAAAGCTTTATTGAACTAAATTTTTAAGTAGTTTGGGATTGACTTCTTGGAAAACAAAACAAACAAAACCAGCAACTAACTGGTAAGAGGAAATTTACCAAGAGCTAGGAAGAATTTCCCCCAGATCTTTTGTTTTAGTTTTCAGTTGCACTTTTGCCTGTTAATAGTATAACAAGAACTTGCCACCTCACCCTGCTTTTTTTTAGTGGATTCTGGTGGTCACACTCAAGTCTTCAGTTTTGTAAATCAGGCACTTTGTCAGCTGAACTTCCTGTTGCCTTGACTTTTCTTGGAGAGGCACAAAAGAATATCTAATCACCCCAGAAGGATATCTAGGATAGATCAAAGGCCAACCTGGTCAGACCAGTGAGTTTGTTGGACTTGCAGGTTGAGGACTTACAGGGGCATTCGTGATTCCTCCCCTCTCTCCCCCAATGGCTTCATCACAGCTAAGTTCACCCTATCATGGTGGCTACAACATGGAAGTGGCATCACAGAGTCCTGCTTTCAGTTAACCCTCTAATTCCCTAGACTCTCAGCATCTCCCAAGATTGCTTGCAATTGGGGTGGAGTGGTGAGTCTCAGGTGAGGCTCTGACTCTGGCTTCCACTCCCTAGGCATTCCCAATAGCTCTAGTACCATCACCAGTACC